TATAATTTATATATTTATATTCAGGTGGTGGAAGTGGTAGTGCCCTCAGTGATGTTAGCCCAGGAAATTCTGTAATGGCATCCGCTGGGACCGTAGGTAGTGTGTCGGTCTCTCTTCACCCTCTGGTCATATTGAATATATCAGAACACTGGACTCGTCAACGTGCTCAGGAGGTTACCAGTGAAGTGCAAGGTAATTTTTGAAGAATTATCAAATCATTTTTTTGTCTTTTATATCCTCATATCGAAATATATTTTAGACTGTTAATATCTGTATATATTTTTCTTAAGAATCTAAGATCCAAGTGTAAGACTGTGTTTCTAGAACACTTATTACATTTCTTTCAGTGCTTGGAGCCTTGATTGGAAAACAAACCGGTCGTCACGTAGAGATAATGAATTCCTTTGAGCTGAGCTATGACATGCTGGACGGAAACATCATCATCAACCGTGAATATTATACTCTAAAAGAGGAGCAGTGTAAGTCGTTCTAGTGACCTGTTATGGTCAACGTTGATGCGTAATTCGATCTGGATCTTGTGATGCATGGTAAAAGTGTTTTAGACGAAGTTCTTGAAGCTAGAACTTTGTGTTACTGTATTGATAATACTGTTTCATTACATTTTTGCCAGATGGTCTTCAAGATAAATGGTGAATTTTTAGACTCTGCCTCTTGGTTCATAAAATGTCCTTGAATTTTGTTAGAGCTCAGCAAGATTTTCTTGAGGGTTAGACCTGAATATTATTTGGAATAGGTTTAGAATTATAGTTATTCATTAACACTTTGGCACCAGAGTATATACACTGTCCACTCTTGGATTTGTTTTTTGAATTTTGATTACGCTGAGATGGCTTCACAAGTGCATAGCCACCATGGAGTCAATGATGAGTCTTACCTAATCTTGCCTGTTTACCCAATATTTATTTTTCCTTTTTTCTTTTCTTTTTTTTCTTTTCTTTGGGGTCAGGATGGGGAAAGGGTTTATTTGTGTAATTTGTTTTAGGTATTATTGTTGTTGGTTGTTGTTATTGTTATTATTATTATTGTTATAATAATGATAATGATAATAATAGCAATAGTAATAAGAAAATAATACTTTTATCAATATTGAAAACAAACTCTACTTTTTGGAAAGTAAAAAGGGGGGGTAAATAGACGAGGTTAAGTCGGACAAGTAATTGTCTCCTTGGTGACTACGTGCCCCTGAAGCCATCTGCATGTAAACAAAATCAATAAAACAAACCCATAGCGTGTTTAGATTCACTCCTGTTGTCAGTTAGTAAATTTTTGCTTCAACCCCCCCCCCCCAAAAAAAAAAAAAAAAAAAAAAAAAAGTTTTAATATCTTTACTTCAAAACAGATAAACAAGTATTCAGTGACCTTGACCTCCTTGGCTGGTATACAACTGGGGACACACCAGGACCCCCAGACCTGCTGGTTCACAAGCAGATTTGTGACCTCCTAGACAGTCCGATATTCCTCAAGCTCAATCCCATGGCTCGGCACACTGATGTAAGTACTGCCCTTTGCACAGTGCTGTCGTTTGTAACAAGATCATGATATAAGGTATATGTTGTCTTCTTGAACTATCCCATGTTTTTTCTTTTGTTTTCTTTTAGGCTGCATGTTGTTGAAAAATAGATATAATATTTTCAGGATATTGTTATATTAAATTCAAAGGAGAAACCACTGCATTATTTAATCTTTCCTTCTTTTCTGAGAATCATACTTTATGATATTTGCTGCTTCCCCAACAGCTACCGGTAAGTATTTACGAGAGCGTTCTGGATCTTGTGAATGGGGTCCCCACCTTGCTCTTGGTTGAACTGCAGTACACCCTTGCAACAGAAGAGGCGGAGCGCATAGGTGTTGACCATGTGGCGAGGATGTCTTCACATGATGTACAGGAGAGCTCAATTGGTTAGTTTCTTGAAAATATTTTCTTTTTATTATTGTAGTAATATTTATATTATGGGATTTCTGAAGGTATGTGGATGTTTGGTTTTCTGATAAAGTTGAAAAATATTCAAAGTAGTTCATTTTGTCAGGTGCTTATTTGCTAAAAATATATTTTTTATTGCAGTGGCAGAGAACTTGCAGGCACAATACAGTGCGATAAAAATGTTGGCCAGCAGAGTGCGTCTTATAGCTGAATATGTTAAGGCTAGTCAGCGAGGCGAGGTAGAGTTCAATCACGAGATCTTACGTCAGGTTAATGCTTTGGCTCATCGACTACCTGTCCTCAACAGTGAGAAGTTCAGGGGAGAATTCTATAATGTGAGTCCATTTAATGTTCCCATGACATTATTATTAATATAATTGAAGTTAAAACAGCTGAATGTGAAATCTTATTGGTGGAACATTTTTTTTTTTTTCTTTTTTCTGTGTCTGACGTGTAGTCTATAAATGAATTTCTTTTCCAGCAATGCAATGATGTGGCGCTGATGTCCTACCTAGGAACTATCACCAAATGCTGTAATACCATGAACCGTTTTATCAACCGATTCAACCTCCTACACGAGAGATTGGCAATGGGACGTCGTATGCGAGGACTTTTCTTCTAGTATTCCTTTTCTTTTCCTTTTTTCTTTAGTACTCATCAGCAGTTATTAAATATTCAGCTGATAATATAGGAGATCCTTGAAACCAGACAAATAACCATTATTATTATTGTTTTTGTTTTTTTTAGAAATTGTTTGACATTAATTTTCTTCCTCCTTTGCACACAGAAGAATTTGCCATGTTATCATTGATTATGTACTCAGTTCTGTCTTAATAAACTTAAAGTTATGATCACATTTATTTATCCTATTCAGTAATAAAGAAAAAAACGATCATATTCAGATCACCTTCGATACTTGTGTGGCGTCATAGGGTGAAGGTATGTTAGTCTTTTTATAGGATTTGGTATTCACTTTCATAGTCCAGTAGTTTATGAATGTATGTGTGTGCTTATACAAACAACTTTCAATAATGTCTATCTGTGTGAATGAGAGGGGTGTTTTTGATGAAAAGAAATTGCAAAACTTCTTGTTTCTTCCCATAAATTTAGGTTGGAAGAAAGGATGTAGGAGATGGATTATTGTAATCTTTTTTTTAAGATCTGGAGAAATCTTCATCACAGTAGAGCACCACCAATATTATTTACAATTATTCACTAACAAGTTGGCAAGGAAGTATCTAGTAGTTATGGCTTCTGAAAACAGTGCTAATTAAATAGTCATATTAATTTAAATTTCAGGGTATATGTTTTTCTTAAAAAAGGGAAATACCTCATCACTGGAATGTACATTTTTCCGTGTCAGGAAAGGAAAGAATGTTTGGGGTAAATATACTAATCATACATATATCACTAGTATTTAATGGTAGTGAGTATTCATTTTGTGCCTTATGCCAAAGGCCCTGCATATGCAGCATCTTGCTAGTCGTCATATGCTGATCAATGTATAAAATATTAAATAATCCCTTGACAAAATAAAAATACAGTATTCTACATCACATGTAAAACTGTAACAATGATAAGTCGTAGATAATATTTGCTTGGAAGAGTGGTATACATAAAAAAAAAAAAAAAAAATAAAGCAAATACTATTGAGACATTTCTACAACTCCAAAAGATTATAAAACAATTTCTCTTCTTTATTCTCCTAATCTCCCTTACTTCCAAAATACCTCCCTCCGTAAACATCCATGTACGACCAAATAATCTGTTTTGGTAACAGCTAGTCCATTAAATAAATTAAACGTGATAACATCCTATGCTCCTTATACTGGCTATATATCCATCCAAAAAATTATAACAATAATAAAGTTTAAAAAAAGGGACAACAACTACTATTTCCCTGGTGTACCGTTTACTAATGTTTGCGGGTTGTCAATATCTGGCAAGTGGAGCTCTACCAGCCCAATTAACTCTTCAACTTGTTCTTCACTTAGTCTCTCTTCACTGTCTTCAATTATCTAAAGAAGAAGAAGAAAAGGATACATTTTATAATCTAGACATTCTGTGTATGCTTTAGTATTTGTGTAAAAATTTCAACGTGCTGTGACAATATCAATTCTCAAGGGAATTTTTACTCTCAAAAGTATATAACACAATATTATACAAATGGTAGAAAGTACTATATTATGGGATTATAGTGTTAAATTTATGCACAGATTACTCACAAGCTGCATTTCCACTGGTGTTGTTGGCCGTAAGTTGATCAACTGTAATTTCTCGGCTTTTGTGAGTTTGAATTCTTTCACAGCTTGTAGGAAACCTTGTATTACTTCAGCATTTTGATTTCTGCAGGCCGTCTTTTCAAGATATTTCATGGTCTGGAAAATAATATCTCATAAATATTAAGTTTTTATATACAAGTTACATCTTACGTATTTACTGTTTACAAACAATATCAGAAACCTTTTGAAATCTTAGCAGAAAAACTGACATAAAATTGAAATCAAAGATTATTTTTTCATACATTATTTCCATCTACTTTTTCTTTTCTAATCCTATTGTATCACTTCAACTAAATAAAACCAAAACACATCCATACTTCAAATGCAATGTTGGCAAGGTCTGCTTGTGTTTTCATCATACTTTTTCTGCCTTTCTCTTGCCTACACAGATCCTGCAGGAGAGCATACACCTCACAGTTGCTCAGGACAGCTCCCTTACAATTTAACCTGCAAAAGATAATACACATGTTATAGAAACAAGTACAAATCTTTTACAAATGAACCTCACTCTTTTTCTGTTTATATTAATGACCTAAAGATTAACAAGATAATACAGAATGCTACTTTTCGATAGTATGTAGTTTTAATAATAATAATGGGACCCCAAGTCAAATGATGTATAGTTTCTACCTACAGAATCTATAAGTTATCCCATCCCTTTTTACAGGGAATAGCTGGGGTCCTAATCATGGCACCAGAGAGTCTTAAATTCCTGAACGCTAGATCAGCACTCAGCTGCCTTAGCCCACTCAAGCCTTTGAGCACACAATGTATTTTAAACTGTACTAAAACTGGTGATCAATAAGTTTTAGAAAAAAAGACATTTTATTCTACCTATTTTTTTTCTATATCCACAAATACAGTGTGTTTATATGTTAACAAGCACAGACACTAAATTTATTTTCAATACTCTTATTATTATAATAATGACAATAATAGCAACAGTAATAATAGTAGTAATAAATACATTTTTTTATCACAAAAAATCAAGAAATCAGGTAAACAGAGTAATATCAAATGGGCTTAGTAATTTACTCTGAAGCAGTATCAATAAAACCAAATAACTGGGGTCAGTGCATGTACCTAAAGCTCATGGGTTAAATTAATGATGAGCTCCAAGCCGATATTTCTCTTTATCACTTTAAATCCTCACTCTTAGTTTAACATAACCACTTTTTTTTAGTGAAATTTCAGTTCCTTGAAACTCATTTCAGTAAAATAAGAGTTTATTGTTATCAATAAGTGATAAACATTTTAAAAAACAATATAATACTTAACCTTCAAAACTACTAGCTTGGCTTGAGGAGCTTCCCTGATAGGCCTTGATATGAAATTTGAACAAGTATATACAAATACTCGTGATATTAACACTTCGAGAAAATTGACGTAACTAGAACAAATCAAGCATGGTTCTGTACTTGATGATGAACTACAAGGAATTAAATACATAATGGTCATAGTGATGATGGGCAGGTCCTTTTTATTGCTTCCATGTATCAATTAAACTAATAAAATTAATCAGAGTCTACTGATTCCTTGTATATACTATGTATGTTTGGAAGTGAAATTACTTGCAAATCCAAAAGAACAACTGCTTTGTAGCTCCCATGTATTGTTCAGTAATGAGCAGCTGTTAGATCTTTCATCCTTATGCAAATTACTTATATGTTCTATATCACCGGTTCCCAACTGGTTGCAACCCTCATTGAGATGGTCGAGGGATAACAAATAGGTTGTGAAGGCTTGGGAGAAAAATATTAACCAATTTGCTGAGCATTAATCAGTAATTATATAAAAATTAAACAGTGAAGACATGACTACATGGAATACTATATTACAATTAGTTCATAAAGCTTGGACACATTACTGAATATCTTATTTTCCTTGGCATGAAAACTATGTCAAGAGGTCACAAGGGTAGAAAGGCGAAAGCCACTGCTTAAACAAGTCTCCAAGCAGAAATATTTATGTGCACTAAAGAAAATCTATAAACCACTATTGGTCATTAATTCCTTGGAGACTGTGATGACTATAACCGTTGACATGTAAACGTGTCATGACTAGCAGCAGGTGGGCTGGCTGTTCACAGCTTAGACCTAGCCACAAAGTTTAGACGTGTAATATTACATCAAAAACTAATCTGGCCCCGTCATCATAGGGTTAATCCCTAAAATCCATTATCATTCATATTGTCAGGTACCATATGGCCAAAATATGAGGTCATGAATATCTTGCCCACTTTATCACAAACCTCATCAAAAGAGTGAGCTTGATGACTATGAATTTATATCTTATAATAACATTCACGTCTAGGCTACAGAATCATCCATTACTCTATTTATCATATATAAATAGAATATAACTGAACAACTCCCATAATTTCACAGCCTGTATTAATTTCTCTAATATACGTCTCTTAATCACTCCCACTACACATGTATTCATTGAGAATATCTCCGTATTTCCTGCTCCATCATTCACTTCTTCCATTTCTGCGATGCCAACAAACCCAAGATTCTAAGTAAAGAGTTTTCATGATGTACGATTAGTGACTTAAGCTCATTATTACTGCGCATGACAGACAATATGCTAGAAACTTTTTCTCATTATGCAAAATACTCTCAGCTGAAGGTCCCTATTCTCAACATATGCATCTAACAAAAAACAATCAGACCTGTATACTTCCCGACTACATTGGCAGTGTAAAGTAATTTTGGTTTAAACAACACATTATGAAATTTTACCAAGTGTCTAACAATGTAAGTATCAAATATTTAAGGAAGTCCATTCTCTGAAAAATGACTCTTTATAATTTTGAACACCGATTTCTCTCGATCATCTCCAAGATATTCTGAGCAGTCTGCATTAATAATTTCTATACGCCATTACTCATACACTCATCATTCCGACGACGAAATGAGATGAATCAAACTACTCAACACTTACAAATATCTTAGGGATGAACAGGACTTAGAAAAAACAATTAAAACCACAATAAAACCCAGCAAATTGAAAGACGCTTCACTCACACTTCCATCGCGGCCGATACTGTTGATCTTGCACTTACACCACGTGCGGTATCACGCCCTTCTCACGCAAGGAATTAAGCAACAACGATAGCTCTCCTACGGTTTACAGAGCCTTTGCAGTATCTTAAACAATCCCTCGGAGGCAATGTCTCCTTTCTTCTCTCTTTCCAGTGAACAGAGGAGGTTTTTCCTCGGCTCTCGCGGTTCGTACAGTCGACAGCTGCTAATGTAAACAGACGATGTTGCCGACACTCGAGCGGAAATTTCATCGCCATGTCGAGCGGAAAGTCGCTAGGGATTATGAAACTCCACTGCCAAAGCACGTAATACATATATATTACGTCTGTCTTGAGGTTAATTTTCATTGAGAAAAAGGGAACTATCAAATAATTTAGTTATCTCTATTCGGTATCTATTTTCTTGCATATGCGAAAATAACGCTACATTCGCGCTTTCAAACCTCACCTGTATTAGTAATATAGGCAGGTAAGAAAATCATTCAAGATAAAAATCTTATATTGGACATCCTTATCTATCAATCATTTCTGAAAAGATGTCACTGAAAAATAAATTGCTTTCAAGTACAATACCCAACTGTGAAATAAATATCTAATCATCATATTTAATTTTCACATGTATAAAATGCAATACTTTTTTATAGACGTACATTTATATTGTCGACAATACATATCCTGATCTTTCGAAGGAAATGTATTATTATTATTGTTATTTATATTCTATCATTATTTTCATTATCATTATCATGAGTATCATCATCACCATTATCATTCTAATTATTATTATTATCATCATCATTATCATTATCATTATTGCTATTATTATTATCATTATTATCATTATAATTATTACTATCAAAATTTACTATTATTACTGTTATTATTATTTCCATTACTAATATTATTATCATTATTAACATTATTGTTTTCTTTATAAGTATTATCATAATCATCATTACTATTATCATTACTATCATAATTGTTGTGATTATTATCATTATCATTGCTATTATCATCATTACTGTTATTGCTCTTATTATTATCATTGTTATTATTATCATCAGTATCATTACTGTTATTATCGGTATCATCATCATCATTATCAGCAATATCATTTTGATTATCATTATTCTTATCATATTCATTAATGCCTTATATCATCATTATTATCATCATCTCTATTATCATTATCGTTATTATCATTATCATCTTCATCATTATCATCATCTTCATCATTATCATCATCTTCATCATTATATCATATCATTAGTATTGTTATTGTTATTATCATTATTATCATTATCATTATCATCATTTCATTATCATCATTGCTCATCATTGCTATTACACCTCACCAGTTCATTTTTTTGGTAACGTTGGTTAATTAATATGTTTGTTAGTTAGTTAGCAGGATAACTCAAAGAGTCATGATCAAATTGTTATTATCATTATCATTATTATTCCATATCATTATGATTATGAATTTGATTAATATCATTATTTTTATTATCACCATCATCATTATTACTATTATCATTATTATTATTATTATCGTTATTATTACTATTGTTGTTATTATTATCACTGTTATTAATGTTATTATTATTTTTTTTTTACTATTATCATTATTATTATTATTATTATTATTATCATTATTATCATTATTATTATTATTATTAACACCATTATTATTACAATTACTATTATCATCATTATTGTTATCATTATCATTATCATATTATCATTATTGTCAATATTGTTATTATTCTTACTATCATTATCATAATCATTATTGTTGTTGTTTTTATAACAATAATCAATATTATCATTATTATCATTATGATTATTATTATTATCATTATTGTCATCATTATTACTATTATCATTATTGATAATATCATTGTCATTATTATCAATAATATTGTTATGCTCAAATTGTTATCATAATCATTGTAAGTATCATTACCATTATTATCATATCATAATTATCATAATGATAATGATGGTGATAATAGTAATGATAATAGCAGTAATGATTATTCGTATTAATATCATTATCATTATTGTTATCATTATCATATCTACTGTCATTGTTATTACTATCGTAGTTTATCAATATTATTATCACAATTATCATTTCCCCAATTAGCATCACTATTATCATCATCAATATATTTATTACCATTATCATTATTATTTGCATTTCCTTGCTATCATTACTATCATTCTCAATATCATTATCATTATTGCTACCATCATCATTACGATAATCATTATCATTGCCAACGTTATCATCACCATCATTATTGTCATCATCACCATCATTATTATCATCACCGTTACCATTGCTAACGTTATCATCACCATCATTATTGTTATCATTATCATCATTATTTATCATTTACCGTTTACCATTGCTACGTTATCATCATCATTTATGTTATCATTATCATCATTGTTATCATCACCGTTACATTGCAACGTTATCCATCACCATCATTATTGTTATCATTATCATCACCGTTACCATTGCTAACGTTTCACATCACCATCCATTATTGTTATCATTATCATCATTATTATCATTCACCGTTACCATTGCTAACGTTATCATCACCATCATTATTGTTATCATTATCATCATTGTTATCATCACCGTTACCATTGCTAACGTTATCATCATCACTATCATTATTGTTATCATTATCATCATTGTTATCATCACCGTTA